CACAGGTAATTAACAAGCACCTCGTTAACGAAGCACAGCACTCGTTGGCAACCTCTTCAGATCCTACTCCCGTGGGTGTGGGGGCGAGGGGAGGCAGGATGGGGGGGGGGGGGGGGGGGGGGGGAGTGTGAAAAACAGTGAGATCCACTGGGGGGATTTGAGATGGATGAGGTGAAGGAGAGGGTGCAGAGGAGTAAGGCAATGGATTGCTATAGCAACCAAGGCAGAGGAGGAGGAGAAGGAGGAGGTGGAGGAGGTACAGAGTCAGGACAGTCTCACACTGTTATGGAGGGACTGCCTTGTACACACAGTACAGGCCCAGTTAGAGCTGCAGCTTCTGGTTCTGGACTGGCACCTGGGCCAAAGCAGTTGTGTCACCAAACACAGTGCCTCACTGGGCACCACTCAGCCTCCCAGGGGTAAGAGGGAGGAGAACTGAGAAGGGGGGGGGCAGGAAACAGGCACCTGGAACCCCCCGTGGACCTAAGACGATGGAAAACAATGTGATTTTTTATTTTTTTTTGGAGGGGGGGGGGGGACTCAGGACAAGAAAATTAAACAATCGGCATGATGTTCCCAGAAATCCAGTGAATGTCTGCTTTACATGTGCACATACATACATACATACATACATGTTTGAATGAAAATCTTTGTGGGGACTGTCCATTTATTTCTATTGAAGAAACCCTAATCTCAACAATGACAACTGGGTAAAAATGGTTAAAATGTCCCCACAGTGTAGTATATAAATAGCCCACACACACACACACACACATGCACACTGGTTCGAATGGACCAAAACTTTACCAGTACACAAAATGACCTGAGCACACTAGAGTCTTGCCCGCACACACACGCCTGAACACGGCCACACCCTGCCTGCACACACACGCCTGAACATGGCCACACCCTGCCTGCACACACACCCCTGAACATGGCCACACCCTGCCTGCACACACACACCTGAACATGGCCACACCCTGCCTGCACACACACACCTGAACATGGCCACACCCTGCCCGCACACACACCCCTGAACACGGCCACACCCTGCCTGCACACACACACCTGAACATGGCCACACCCTGCCTGCACACACACACCTGAATATGGCCACACCCTGCCTGCACACACACCCCTGAACACGGCCACACCCTGCCTGCACACACACCNGGCCACACCCTGCCTGCACACACACCCCTGAACACGGCCACACCCTGCCTGCACACACACCCCTGAATATGGCCACACCCTGCCTGCACACACACCCCTGAACATGGCCACACCCTGCCTGCACACACACCCCTGAACATGGCCACACCCTGCTTGCACACACACACCCCTGAACACGGCCACACCCTGCCTGCACACACACTCCTGAACACGGCCAGACTCTGCCTACACACCCCAGAACACGGCCACACCCTGCTTGCACACACACTCCTGAACACGGCCAGACTCTGCCTACACACCCCAGAACACGGCCACACCCTGCTTGCACACACACTCCTGAACACGGCCAGACTCTGCCTACACACCCCAG